GGGGGCTGCGTCTGCCCGCCGGCAGCTGCAAGCTGTGTCCCGGGTCTTGGCTTTGCGCTGGGGCTTGCCGGTAGGGGGTAGTGGCATCGTGCTTTTGAACTTCCCGGCTGCTCTGAAGCACGGGGGTGTGCTCCCTTGGCAGGCGAAACTGTTCCCATTTTTCTATCTCTTTCTTTGTAATGAAAGTTTCCTGTTTCACATCCATTCTCTAACGTCGTCAGTTGCGCTGGTGCGTACCTGGAGACTGCGCTGTCCTGATTACGCGGTGACAGAGCTTTCGGACAGCTTGCGACTCTACCTGGGCTGTTACTTTTTACATTTTTACATCGTGTTAGGGGAAAGTTTTACCCTGTACAAAGCTTTCTCAGACTGATTTGTTGAACTCCTGTTTCAGTGAGTCATTGTTTCGATGATACATGTGGACCTTCAGGGTAACGCTAATAGTAGGCAAATGGTAGCTACATACGGAGTACTGTAATGCTGCTTAGCTGAGATGTTTTGCTGGGCTGAGAGAGTCCTGAAGAGCTCTTTGTGGGGGCTCTTTGTGAGAGAAAAAGTGTCTCTGTACCTTTGCTAACTGTCTGCTCACTAGCTCACTTGATATTGCAGAGAACCAACAGTTTATAGGGAACTTTCCTTTCTCCCCCAGCCTCTTTCAGTCCAGTTCTTCTTCCCTCTGCTCGCCTCTGTACGATTCCCCTGTACGTTCCTCCTCGGGTCAGTTACCACTGGCCTCCTGTAGCACAGCTGTGTTCTGCTCTGGCACTTCCTTTGACAATAAGGCCTGGTTTTGGTCCTTCTCTTTCCAGTAGCTAGAGTTGCAATACCGTGTAAGCACCACTAACGTGCCTTTGCGGAGGACAGCAAAGTTTCAGGAAGGAGGGAGTGAGGCCCTCTGAAAAGTGACAATTTGGAGCTAACCTGTAGGCTAACGTAGCATCAATAGTGGATATTTCTGTACTGCAGCAGTATTGATGCTTGATGTAGCATACAGATGCTGCCAGTTGCTGTTACAAACTCTGGTAATGACGTTATAACTGTTTTCGTGCTCTACAAGAAGTGTGAAAATGTATGAGGCTGTAATTTGTACCTGATGGGAAATCTCCTCTTGGATGCAGAGTTCAGGCAAGAGCAGACCTAATGTTCTCTTTGGAGAGAGGATGGAATTCTTGGTGATTTTCCTTATTGTCAGTCATGCAGTTGTTGACAGTGATCAAGTGCTTGTGCTCTCTTCAAGTTTTGCAGCTATGTTAAAAGAAAAAATACGAATGCTGTGGCATTTTTTTCATTGCTGAAAACTTCAACAAGAGCAGCTCTTAAAAAATCACTTGGTTCTGTTTTGAAGATTTATTTTCTATCACTGTTTTTCCAGAAAATATAATATTGCTCAATCAGAAGTTTTCCGGTCCGTTATTGGGGTTATATATTCGGCCACATACTCCCCCCATACCTGGAATCCTTTTCACACAGCTTTTTCCCTACCGTAGTTGTTTGGCTGTTACACTGTATAAAGCATGTTTCAATATCTTGTATATTTTTAATGATGAGAAACCGTCTTAAACAAATTTGAATGGAAGGTTATTAAGCATTTGTTTTGCAGTTGTCAAATTATCTAGAGAATGATTCTCATAAAGCTAAATTTATCATTTTGTGAATAACATATCCCTTTCAGTATGGCGTCAAAGTGGTAAAGGCTATTTTCTGCATCTCTTTGGCATTGTTTTGTTAGTGTATGTTTTTAGATGGATGTTAGTTATTTCAGTATCACAATGCTGTGCCTGTCTGCGTTTCTTCTACTTGGCTTGCTTTGCATCACTGTGAACTGGATATGTTCTAATTCAGGGACGGGATGTGTCTTATAAAGTCTTATTTAATTTTGACTTAAAGACATAGTAAGTATATCTGTCAGTATTGTTTGTTTGCTTCTATTTTAATTCCAAGTGAAAAGGTTTATAATTTTAGTTCATTGACTAGATCTGAAATTTGAAGATATGAGTGATGTGAAAGCACGATGATGAAAGTGCACTAGAAATGCAACATGAATTATTGATAGAAATTCCCTAGGCACAGACAAGGAGTTACAAATTTCTTGTTAATTAAGCGTGGAATGTATTCTGTTCTGCTTTTTTGTAGAAGTTTCGTGATCGCTGTGCACTTCAGTGACATCAGCTATGCTAACAATAGCTTCACTACTTTCATTAACAATACTGGAAAATGAAGGGATTCCTTTTAAAAAAAATCATAATTCACCCCAATACATCTGTCTAGCTATTCATCTCAAGGCAATAAGGCCACTTATTGTGAGTTATGTTTGTTTTCCTAATTTATTTAAGACTGCATTTGGATATGAAGGAAGGTGGTGTCTAAATTTATGCACTGGTACAGTAGTCTCTTGGTTATGCATATAACAGCTTAATATAATAGCACAAAAAAACTGCAGAAACATATTGAGCTTTCTACATCATAACTTGAACGTTGAATGCCGTGATTAATATTGCCTGAAGGCATTAATCCAGTGTAACTGCATAATACCACTCTCTTCCCTAATCATTCAGTTTCTGCTGGCTCTCTTTTGCTGACATTATTGACTGAGTAAGACAAATCAGGGACCTGGACAGTATTTGCCTGGATGGATACTCAAAACAAACAAAACAAAAAACACCATCCCACCCCCGAAATCTGTTGAATCAGTTCTGTGGCTATGTGAGGATTGTGCTAACACAAGAAAGATGTTAAGGCTGCATCTTTTAGTGGCAGCTTGAATTTTTGCTAGATTAGAGTGACTACAGTCATAGCCTAAGTTCTCTGGACCAGGTATTCCCGTGTATCTGTTACAACAGGCTTATTCACTATAGCATAGGAAGGTAACAACCAAGCTTTCTGAGTTTCAAATATAACAAAATATACCCTTTTCCTCTTAGGAATCTCTTTTCAGGTAGGGTGGAACAAGGGATATTTGATATGGTCAGTATCAGAATTGACTCATGCTGGATGCGGAGGAAAAAGTAACAGTAGAGATGAAAATCTTAGTATTGTGTCAAATTAGCAAACGATAATTCAGATGGGACTTCGATTATTTAGCATAAGGCAAGATTAAATGAGCTTCAGACTGCTGCTTGTACAAATGGCTGAAGTAGACTTGTGGTATGTTTAGCTGATTTCCATCAAAAGTCTAAACGTGAAACTTTTGATTACAGTGTTGCGTAACCTATTTAAAAGTTTAATGAGTAGTTTAAAGATATTTCTGTAATGCAACTTTGATCACATTCTGTAAAACGATTTTTCTTGATAATTATTAAGTGAATTATTACAACTTCAGTATGCAGCTTCTTTCTCGTGCTACCCGGAGAAAACTAGTTCTCCTAATTTTGACCTTGAGGCTTGATCATAGACTTCAGTGCATCTCTCCAAGTTTGACTTGGAAGATAAGAAGCCTTATAGCTTACTCAAGTTTGCTTGATTTTGCAAAATATTTCATGCAAAAGTTGAGTTATTGACCCTAATTAATTCTACACTTATTCTGCACTTATTTTTGTTTTAGGCCAGTAATAGTTTTCAGCAGAAGATAAATACTGGCAAAGGTTAGATAATAATTGTGCAAGTTTTACCATCATTATATATTTTTGTGGTTGACCAGCATTTAGTAAAAGTGGGTGTAAGTTACAAGAGCAGAAGGAAGATATAGTCAAGTAAGCTTCTCCATAAAAGGGCAGAAAAGAATGATGAGTTATACAGATATTTTTGGAGGATGCATATTATCATTAGCTGCTGTCTCTTCATTTCTACAAAAACAGTTGTTTTAAGTTAGCCATCTGCTATATTAAATCCAGCTGAATTCAAGTGTTTTCATTATTTTGGAACAATTCCCTGTACTAAGCTGAAGTTCCTTCACTTCCTAAAAATTTTTTACTGTTAGGTATTGAATAACTAACAACTTTGTTTTTTATAGTTGGTCTTTGCCTCTGTATTAGTTGATCTTTTTTAATTGGCAAAAGTTGGACATAATATTTTTAAAATAGTTGTGCGTTATGCAAGTCTGTGGTTTTTACTGCTTTTTGAAAGGAAGTTGATTGAAATAGCACTGTAATATGCAGTAAGGAATTTCTATATTAATTATTTATCATCCTTGCAAACTGGAGAAACTAAAATCCAACTCATCAAACAGAAGAGCTTTATTTTGTCCAGACTTTTATTTGAGAAAACATCGTTTAAACAAGTTACTTTAAATTGCGAGTCTAAACCAAGTTTGCTGCTTCTTGGATCAAAAAGAGTAACAAGATAAAAATAGGATGCTTTTCCTTCATGACTGGGATTTAAAAACACAAAAGGCAATGAAATGGTTCCAAGTATAACAGTTCTGTAATAGCAGAATAAAGCTTACTACAGCAAAACCCTGTTTAAATGTGTAGGAATAGAAAATCTGCATTCAAGAGTGTTATGGGATTTTTTGGCAGTTTGTTTGTTTGAAGTTGGATGCGGAGTTCTGAGCCGTTGAGGCTCATTTAATAAACTCTGGAATGCTGGGGGAATGAGGAGCTGGGCACATCCAACTGGTGTGCTTTGTTTAGAAAACCTGGACAGGATAACTGGAGTAACTGCAGCAGTTAGTCTGAGACTGATAATTAAAAGACATGTAGGCTGAAAGATGCAGCATACAAAGAATGGTACTATAGTTAATGTCAGTTGAGGCTTTTAATGACAAGCGAGTGTAAAATACACTTAAGTCAGATTTTGCCCAGAAGAACTCCTTTTTTAAAAAAAAAAAAAAAAGGCAAATTTACTAGTAAATCTGAGTATTGCAGTTTTAAAGCATCTAGTGACTAGTTAGTTGTGTCTAACAGGCTTTTTTCTATTGAATGTGATCAGTTGCTCTGTCATTAATCAGAAGAATATATAGTTAAAATTTGCAGATGGCTTGAATGAGTAGAGTAGTAAAAGTGTCAGAAAACGACCAGGAGTATTTACTAAATATGACTTATGTGAGCTTAATGTGAATCTTAACCCTACCAAATCCATGTCCTTAGTTCTAAAAGTAAGGGTCTGTGATGTGGAAAATGGAGTCTGAGAGGAAACTAAAGCATATTGTTGATTAACCAACTGAACATGGACTCCAACTTTACCAAAACAGTGACAAGCTTAAGTCTGTGGATGTATAGAGGATATCAAATGGAACCAGGAAAACATTAAGCCTTTCTAAACGACATTAGACTGTTCTGAGCATTGCTCTCTGAAAACTACGTACAGTACAATTCAAACATTCTGTAGATACCAACTTGCCCAGTTTAATACACCTTTCAGTTTTCCTAGCTGCTCAGCACCATTTCATTCATATTGATTGATGATTGTTCCAGGCCTCAGCCAGACTCACATAACTGCCCAGGAACTAGAGAAACAAGGCACTGTGCTGTTGGATCAGATGATACACATATTCATCTTAATTGAGAGTTAAGCTTTGAAAGTGTCCACTTCTGGTGGCTTCATGTGCATGTTTGAATAGTAAGGAACTGACAACAGAAAGCTAAACAGTTTGTTTGGGGTCATGAAACCAAGGTAATATTCTCACAAGAATGTTATTGGTTGCAGTTTATCATATGTACCTCACTTCTCTATCCCTGTTTCATGTAATACACTGGCCTTTCACTAAGTGGATAGTCTTTTTAGCTGAACAGTTCTTTGTAGAAGTCCACAAGCTTGGTTCCATCTTGTGATGTTTTAGCATCGCAAAATTAAGCCACGTGGAGCCCCTAGTAAATGTAGAGGTAAAAAAATATGTGAAAGCAATTGATTGTAAGGTACTCCATTGTCATAAATGAGGATTGTTTCCAGTGGTGACTTTCCCTGCTTCTCTAATTTTGTGGTATTAAACATAAATGGACCACTTTTGATATGGACTGAAAACTGTACTAGTTAAGTGATATCACATAATGTTTGCAAATACAAGACAAGGCTTTGTCATAAGTTGCGTGCTGACTATGATGCATTTGAACATCTTGATAAGCTTATTTTAGTTCTTTGATTTGTACTTCTTGGAAGTACAAGCATGCTAGCAGCTTTGTATTTAGAGAGGAGCCGGTTTTCACACAAAAAGGGACAAGGGAGCAGAAGAGCCTGCTCCTCTTCAGAAGAGACATAGCAGACTTCCCCACACACATCAGCTTGAAATATGAAATCAGGTTATCGTATGTAATGTGAACAGTTTAAGTAAAAAATAAGGCATCTTTTAGTGACGCTCCCCTCTGTCCAAAGGTAGTGATTTTAAAGAGTTTGTGTTAGAAAGTGTTTTTGAGTTGTCCTTTAATTCGTAGGAGACATTGAATGTTGGAAGAAAAATTGATACCTAGCTTCAAGCCATTCTTCTGCCCTTTGCCCCAAATACATACAACCTTTCTGTGTGAGACTGTGTAGGTAATAGCTTGGGAATAGGTTGTCGCTGTATAGCGGGAGACTGGTCTTACTAGATAAAGGAGGTCATGTGTTCAGAATTGTCCTTGCTTCTTATAGTTCAGCTGTGCTCATTTTTGATGCAATAACCTAATTGCTTGTACTAATTTAAGCCTGTTAGCAAAGCAATACAGTATTTAGGTCAGCTTTTCTTCACCGTCCTTTTGTGCCTGTGCCTCCTGTTCTTGGCATTTCCTAATTGCTGCAGGTTCTCTTTTCAGACTTGCAGTATATCAGCCTTCATTGTGATGCTTTTTGTTTTGCTGCTGTCTTGTTTTGCTTCAAACAGCCAGACCCGTGTGCTGTATCGTCATGCTGTACCACTAGTAAAGACAAAAGCTTGGCAAAATTCAAATAGCATTTGTCAGAGATGTACATAACTAGATTGGTTTTAACTGGTCGAATGTGGAGAAAGTAGTCTGTATTAGTAGATGACTGGAGTGATCTGTAGTTTGGTATCTAGTTTGCAAGTCTTGTGAAGGTGCAAAGAGCATAACTGATCCAGCAGAAGTAAAGGCTAGCCCAGAGAAACTTCAAGTCCTCAAATCGCTGCTACTTCCAGATGTGTATGAATGTTTGCCATGGAACACTGAATTGGAGTGGACCCTATATGGTAGGAGAGGGGTAGGATAAACTATAGGGTGTGTAAAATGAGCTGCGTTGCTTTCCTACGGTTAGTTTTGTGTGCATATGTGTTAGGAGTTCTAGATTGGTACTTCCACAATGCAATGCTTTTATACAAAGGCAATTTTGTAGGCAAAGCATTCTTAATGGGAAGAGTGACGTATCTCTTGAGTCATGAATCTTTCTCTCTTAGATTCAGATAGGCTTTTAAACTGTTTCTCACACAGCCTGGAATTGCGTGTATCCCATTTCATTTCTTGTGTAGCAAAGCTAGTTTTTCTGATCTATTCTGCTCCATTCTTGTTGCTAGCCTTATGCTCAGCTTGGCCATGTCTTCTACAGCTGTACCTTCTCTTGCGTTTCGCGTGGCTGACTGTCCCACTCTTCATGTAAATTCCTCTTGGGATTTCACTTGACTGAACTGATAGTTAGTTGTTTATGAGGTTATTCTTCATTTTTTGGAGAGGAAGATCTCAAAGCTTTGAAAAGTGTATTGAAGCTCAGACTCAGACGTGTGAAATGAACAGGAGAATAGCTAAGGCGTTAATTTTAAAGGAAACAAGTTGGAAGTACAGAGGTCTTTTGCGCACATTGCTTTCTTCATCGATATTTGTCTTTTCTGACAAGGTTAGACTGTTTTCTGGGTATAGTTTCTTTGAACTGTCTGAAAATCAGTTAGCTCACTGCATATGCCATTACAGTGTGAGTAATGGCAATAGAATCAACTGATTTAAACACGTTTTCTTGTTGTCTTTTCTCCTATTAGGAAATTCTTTCTGGAGTTGTGGTCATAACGAGTAAAGACACAGTCCAGCACCAAGGTATCTCATTAACAATGGAAGGATCAGTAAATCTGCAGCTTAGTGCCAAAAGCGTGGGTGTATTTGAAGCTTTCTATAACTCTGTCAAGGTAAGGCCTCTGCAAGTTATTAGCAGAAATATTAGCAGAAATTTTTTTTGTCTGTGTTCTTAAATCTTTCCTTAATAGTTTTCAGGTAGTTATAATGTTTTGCTATATATGAAAGCTCAGCATTATCTATCAATACAATGTAAGATTTCAGGGGGGGAACATGCACTAGATGGAGAGTTTTCTTTAGGGCTGAAATGTAGTAATATGAAGAGTATGGTTACTGGAGGGTGTACTGAAGGAGCATGATATAGATATGTTTTTAAAAAAAAAAAAAAGTATAATTTTTAAAGCCACTGAGTTTAGTGGGACTTCTGTGCCAGGTCATCATCCCATTGGTTTCTGCAGAGCCCTTGAGAGTGTGGTTCAGGTCCCGTATTACGCCCAATAAAACGATTCATCTGTGCAGTCTGATACTGCACACAACTGCTTGCCTGCAGAGCTCCTGGACTACTTTTGTATCGGTTTTTTTGTTTTTGGAAGTGTGGTTTAGACTCTTGACCTGACTCTACAGCAGGGCAAATTATCTCAAATGTGGCTGTATTGATTCAAGGCAAGGCTGGCTATGTTCAGAGGCAGTATAGCTGTTTTTGCCAAGTAGCTTGCCTGAGTTAGCACAGTCTCAGTGCAGAGCCTTTTGAAGGAGTCTTCATTTGCATCCTAGTTAATTTGTTCACAGGCTGAATAATCTGCTCATGAATGACTGAAAAACAGTAGAAGCAAAACATTTTCTTATTCTAGTCTAGCAGAGGGCAAAGAAAAGTAAAACTCTAGGGGGAAGGAAAAAGTGGTATCTTAAGGCAAAGCTGCCGCTGAGCATGCCTCTTTATAGCAAAGTTGCATCTCTTTCCCAAATGGGAGGCTTCTATTTGTTGATTAGCTTTCTTTTAAGAAAGAAATAAAAACTTTTTTGAGGCAAAGAAAAACTTCCCTTCATGATGTTTCATAAGATGGACTGAAATCATCTAACCCACTGTCTGCAGTCAGCACTGCTTCTACGGCTTTGTTTTTGCTCATTCTGGCTGATTCATTTCACTAGACTAGTGGAAAGGGAGGGGGCACTTCCCTTTTTTTTTGTTTATTTGTTTTTTGGGTTTGTTTTTCTCTTCCTGATAAACCAATGAATTGAATTACCTTACTGACAGGTCAGGTGAATGTCTAATTTGGCAGAAAAATGTAGCCACATGGAAGAACAAGTGAAGCTACTATTAGTATCATTTTTTACTGATACTATTAGTTTTTTACTATTAGTTTTTTACTGATACTAATATCAGTTTTTACTGATACTATTAGTATCAGTTTTAGGGCGGGAAAGAGGGAGGAAGCAAACAGCTAACTGCTCAGCTGGTAGGTGCATACCCTCGTGGATTCCTGATGCTGCTATTAGGAGTCATAACTTGGAAAATGTAACTCAGCTTTCCAAAGTGCTTGAGACTTTGTTGTTTACCTCTTTAACTGTGTTTAGCCATTTCCTGCTGCTGCTATTAGGAGTCATAACTTGGAAAATGTAACTCAGCTTTCCAAAGTGCTTGAGACTTTGTTGTTTACCTCTTTAACTGTGTTTAGCCATTGATTTGACACAACTGTAAAAGAGAGCACAAATGGTTCTCCTGAGGAAAAGCACTCTTAATGCTTCTTTTCATTGTAAGACTGGATGGAGAACTGCATATCAGAAAGAAATGCTTGAATTTTTTGGAAATTCAGGAAGTCTGTTAGCTCCATGATTTCAAAAAGAACCAACAACATTCGCTAAACTATCACTTTGCTTCAGCTTAAACCTCTTAATATTTATCTTTGCAGCCTATTCAAATTATTAACAGCACTATTGAAATGGTAAAACCAGGAAAACTGCCCAGTGGCAAGACAGAAATTCCTTTTGAGTTTCCCTTGCATATGAAAGGCAACAAAGTTCTATATGAGACATATCATGGCGTCTTTGTTAATATTCAGGTAAGGCAGTCATATCTGTAAATAAAATCTGAACTTTTATTGTCGTCTGATGTATTCTAAAGCATCTCTTATTCTGTGGAGGCAGAGGAAATTACAGCGGATAAAGTTCTCTATTCATCGTGCATATCTTAAAATATTTTTTGCTTTTGTCAATTTGAGGAATGAACAGAAAGTTAGAGATCCTTTGATGTAGGTAGCTTTTAAGTGTCTCTATTAATATAGTATTATTCTAATGTGTACTGTATTTTCTAGATACAACTTAACATGAGACTAAAAACATGATGAACATTAACCTACAGGTACCAGTCTATAGGTAGTCTCCTACTACCGTTTTTTTCAGTTCCTAGGAGTCAGTGCTTCCTACAGTTAACGCTGCCTAAATGTAGCCTTTTTAAGATCTCAGACTCCCATCCGTATATTGTTGGTTTTTAAAAGGTTGTTGCAATGTGTGTTTCCTTTTCTTTTCCAGTGACCTTAAGCTTTTTCTTTACCATCAACTATTGCAATGAAAATGATCAGATGTAACATGGGAAGTGCAGGAAAGAATTGAGAACACAGTAGAAAAAGGAAGGTTTGGATTGAGAAAGGACAAAATGTTTATGACACTAGTTAAAGCTCATACAGTTCTTCTACAGGTACAATATGAAACTGAAATCCTACTTGTATGTTCAGGATAATATTTTCATCTAGTTCTGATTTTTATGGTGAAAGAAGTTGTATTTCCCATGTTGTGGACACTCTGTAGTGCATAGCCAAAAATAAATGTACAGTTTCAGTGAGATTTTGTTAGCATAGGAAACTAACTGGTTACTGCTAATAATAATTTAAAATACTAAAAATGAAGTGGGCTAACTTACCAGATCCAAATTAGACATAGGCACAAATCCTACTGTAACAAAGCTACCTCATGTTCCGAGTCTGTTTTCCTGTGTTAATTTGTCAGAAGCATCCTCCAACTGGAGGAAATATTTCCATCCCTTTTCGTTTCAGGCTTTCCATATTGAGTCCATCTCCTAGGAAGGATGGTATAAATAGAACAGTAACAAGATGTCTTGCCTGAAATACCTTAAATGAGAGCTATTGTAACATATCTGACCACTCCTTATGCACTAGTCGCATTACATCCATTATTCAGCTAAATCTATTCCCTTCATGAATAAAAGCTGTACCACTGTTTATGTTTATTCTAAACAAATATATGGCTATGTAATTTTATAATGAAGACTCAAAGTGGTGAGAGCTTGTAGCATCTTCAAAAATGTGAATTGTTTCCTCCTTGTAGAGATGGGGAATAACATTTTCTGCCCTAATTTGTGTGGGCAGCATAGTTGTAACAGAGTCTATGGAAATAGAGTTTTGAGATTTGGCATTTTTTGGTTAAAGATCGTCTTACCGAAGGGTGGTTGTGTTTTTGTTTGTTTTTTGGGGAGGTAGTCTTTCCAACTCTGGAATTTATACATTATGTTAGCTGGCGCTTCTTACAGCGATATGTTTTTGTGTTTTCAAGCAGAAGTTAAGAGGCAGTCACTAAATAAAAAAAACTTTTGAACCACTGCTAATAAAAAAAATCATTGGATTGTAAAATTTTTTTTTCTTTCCTCCTTGTAGCTCACTGAGAGAATTAGCTTTGACACTGTATATAAAGCTGTTAGTTATTTAGCTGAACTGAAAGTTTTACAGTGAACAGGCTTAGATTTAAAAAAAAAAACAACAACAACAACAACAACCTATTAGCTTGTCAGAAGTAACTAAAAGAATAAAAAGTGTGTGAAATGCAGGAGGGCTAGGCCTGTAAAATTAGGCATTCATTTCTCGTTAAACTCCTTAGACCTGACCTTGTTTTCATGGGATACAAAGAAGTAACACTTGTAGAAAAGTCTCAGATGAAACACTTTTATCCACTTCTTAGGTATACAATCTGTATAGACCTTCCTTTCCACATGTCTTTCAAAATAATGTTTTAGCGAGGTGATGTTTTCGGTTTTACCTGCTTACCAGGCGTCTTTTTAGTTGCTTAGTTTATTACTGTGCTTGAAGATGTTATTGACATTTTAGATTGTAAGTATGCTTTTTGAATAATATTATAGGCTTGTACAGTTGGCTTCCAGTCCAACTTTTTTTGTTTTTTGTTATTGTTTCCATTGTTACAGAGCAAATTGTGGTCCTGTTTTTCCTGCTTTTTGGCATAGTCAAGTAGATAATATTTTCTCAGCCCTTGCAAGAAAACCCTGTCTGAAGATCTGACACTCAGCTTTCAAAATTGCAATTTACCATTCTATATCTAGTTTTTCCTTCAGGCCACTGGCAAACTCCAAATGATTATGTCCGACATTCTTCAGTGTCCGTTAAAATTTTTCACTTTTCAGTACAGAGTTTTGGTTAATTCAGAAGCAATTCAGAATGCATTTCTAAATGCAGGCCCTCAAAGCCATTTCTTTATCGAGCATTCCCATCGTTTGCTCTCTTCCCTTCCCATCGTTTGCTCTCTTCCCTTCCCATCGTTTGCTCTCTTCCCTTCCCATCGTTTGCTCTCTTCCCTTCCCATCGTTTGCTCTCTTCCCTTCCCATCACCTTTCCTTCTCCCTTCCCATCGTTTGCTCTCTTCCCTTCCCATCGTTTGCTCTCTTCCCTTCCCATCGTTTGCTCTCTTCCCTTCCCATCGTTTGCTCTCTTCCCTTCCCATCGTTTGCTCTCCAGGATATTGCTTAAACTGCATATTTTATATATGACTACCTTAAGTTCATATACTGCTAATAGTGCCTAGGAATTCCCTTGGTTTTTTGCCTATATTCAGATGTGGGTTTTTTTTTTTTCAAGTACTTACCATATCCTTCTTTCAATCTTGGCTTTCTTCCTAGTGTACCATTTGTTGTTTGTGGTAGGTATGTCAAAAATGGTGGCAAACAGGTTGAGTTGCTTTCCATAATCCAGATAACTTGCTTATGATTGGTATCAGTTCTTTTAAGGTTTGCTTTAATGATAAATGATTTTATTTTGGTTTTTTTTTGTTTTGTTTTTTGGGTTTTTTTTTGTCATTTTTCTCTCATCTACCCAGCTTCTTTTTACAACTTGGGGATAAATTGTAATTACAAGGTTAATGATTAGGGGTTAGCCAGCCCTTGAGAATTTTTTTTCCTATGAAACCTGAAGATGAAAATGTAGCCTCTCCCAAGGCTATATAAGGTACGCTGATAACTGATAAAACAGGTACATCAATGAATTTGGGGAACTTTAAAGTCTGGCATTTTTTTTAGGCATCATTTTAGAATTGCTTAAAAATGTTTTTCAGGTTTTAAATAAATCAAAGAAAAGAGTTCACTTGCTTTCTAACTTGTTTATATTTGTTATCTGTCCAAACCAAGAAATGGAAGAATAGACTACAAACAGCACACCGCCTGTTTATCTTTTGACGTTTGAGTAAAGGTGCTGTTTAAGAACCGCTTCAGAGACATCTATCCAAGTCCTATGCGGTTTAAAAGCAAGCCTCTATTTCTTGATCTAGTGATTAATATGCTAGCTGGGGTTTGAATATCAAAATTCAAGTCTCTGTTCTCATGCAGAGACATTCTAATTAGATGCTGATGGGGAGGCTGTCGGCCAGACTGCAAGAGGTGTTTTTCCTGCTGCCCTGCTGCTCCCTTATTTCAGACCAGGGAACTTGGTGTAATGCAGTGGAGCTTCAAAAGGTTTGCATACGAGAGAATAGTTGGATGGGGAGGGAGGTGGGCTTCCTTCAGATCCGGATATTGACGTTATAAGTGGTGAGAACCCCTGGACTAGAAATTAGGAAGCTTGAGTCCCTTAGTTTGAGCATACCTGTGTTTGTCAGCTCCTCATCTATAAAGAGGGAATACAGAAAACATTCCCTAAGGACACTGAAAAAATATGTTAAAGATGGTGAGGTGTATGGTTACTGTGATAACACAGATCATACTATTTCTCAGCCATTAGTTTATGGCCCCCTTTTTAGGGGAGAAGAGGGAGGAAATGGGCAGCAAGTTATTGAGCAGTCTCCAGCAAAATTAACCTTGTTCCCTGACTTCCTGTACGTTGTTGCTTTTAAGTTTGGCTTATATGGTTAAAGACAGGTCCTTATTAAATATGCTTATAACTATTACCACCATTACATTTATTGTAAAAGTAAATTTAACAATAAAAGGGCTGTGAATATATCTTACCTGTTGATAATCACTTATCCAAAGTATGGTGAGCAGCACCATAATTAGTTGTAACTGAATGTAACTTGGGTGCCCAGGCCCTACAAAAATATTACTCTCTGTCTGTGAATTAGTCCCTCAATCTCATAGGCTGTTATTGTGTATTACAGTAACACACAAGAGATGAAAAGCATTTGCAAGTGATGATGGGATTGTAAATACAAACGCTTTTTCATTTGAGAGCGGGAGCATCTAAAACCATTATGTATCTCTTATCTCCTCCCCTTACGTGTCTTCTCCCCATCACTGGTATATACATTGCCTACTAATCTGTTGTAAAAGAAATCTTAGATATAAATAACCAGTAACCTTCTGCATTTATACAACAAAAAGAAGAAAAAATAATAGAGATGGAGGAAATCTTAATTAAGGCTCTTCTCTTTTTCTCCTTATCCCATTCTTACCAGTATACCCTGCGGTGTGATATGCGACGTTCTCTGTTGGCAAAAGACCTGACTAAAACTTGTGAATTCATTGTCCACTCACTGGTGAGTGTGGTTCATGTTAACTATATGAAGTGAGACTTTTTTTTTTCCCCTTCATTTAAACTGAACTTCAACAGTGGTGTTGATTTAAAAAAACAAACAAACAAACAAGTAACAGTACTGTAACTTGTAATAAAATAACAACACATCTGATGTGCATGAGTAAAAAGCTAGCCTCAAAACAAAAACATTCAATAGAAAAAGAGCATCTTCGCTACTGGAGGTTTCTTCTGATTAGGATGACACCTTTTTTTTTTTTTTTTTTTTTTCATTTAGAGAAGTCTTATCAAGTACAAATATGATTTAGCTAATAAGATGTTCATATTTGTTTTATTTTCTTACTCATTCTTTTCACTTCTGAGACAGTGGTGGTGGTAAGAGATGAATACTACAGTGTTCTTCTAAACACTGTTGCAGATTATCTGAGCATTTCTTAGCCAAAGGTTCCAGGCACCCTCAATGCCTGTCATAGAAATGAGAATGCATTGGTAAAGGAAAAACCATCTGATTTCTGTTCTTAGATGATTAACTGTGATTTAGAGCACTAATTCAAGGCGTCAAAGTTCGGAGTGTATCAAGTTGGAAATAAGAAGTTTGTCAGCTTAATATTGCTAAGAAAGCCCGTGGTTGGCAACATGTTCAGATATCCAAGGTAACTAATGTTCAAATCCTGCAGTTAGCAACAAAGAGACAGCCTTCCTCCAGTGGCGATATCATTGTGGGATGAGATCTGTCTGTCTTGCAAGAAGTGCTTTGCCGCTTCTTGTTTGGAGGTTCCTATCTCAGCTTGTTGTTTTTAGTTTATGTTGGCTTATACACATGCCCAGAGCATCTGATATCAGTACAGACTGTGCAGGCATAATTAAATACCTCCTTTTTCTTCTTTTCCCATCCAGAACTTGCTAGAACATACTGTTTGCATCATTCCTTTGAACCCTGTAACAGGACATTAAACCATTAGCTTTTTTTTTTTGTCTTTCTTACAAATAATGGTGGAAATGCATTATTTTAGTTCTATGGTACCTTTTTTTAAAGGTTTGCTAGGTGCTATATAGAGGCCTCCTGTTGGTAAGATTTCATTATTTTCTAAAATACATTATGCTACATTGTATTGGTCCATTATTATATTATAAGTAAGCCACAGCTGTCGAAATAGTGAACAAATTATATATTATGCAGTTTCCTGGTTTTATTTCTTGTTCCTAGCATAGCACTTGTTAGATCAGGAGTCAGTAAATCATGCTGAATCTCAGTCAGGGTGAATTAATGAGGTTTTACTGAACATATAATTCTCACTGTCAGTGCTCAATGTACCGTTTCCCTTGACCTTATTCTTTGCCAGAATTTGTCAGTTGCAAGAAAATACAGTCCATTTTTCTGCTAATATCTTCCATCTTGCAGCTGGGCAGCAGAAGCTATTTTGAATTCTTAAGCAGTGAGAGTAAATCCTAACTAAGGGTTCAAGTTCAGCCCATTGGTGTTAGAGCTGTACCAGCTCTCAGTTGTGCACAGCTGGAGATCTCATAATTCAGTGGTGCACTGGTCACTGATTTTTACATGTGAGGGAGCAGGGGGAAAACAATGCACCTCACCGAGATACGGATCCAGGTGGTGAATGGTAAGTGAAATGTGTGACTTGCCTTGCTGATACAACCGTATTGGCTGAGCCTGTTCAGCTGCTTTTGTACAAGCTAACTTTTTGTTATTGTGATAAATGCTGCAAATAGATACTGAAAAATTACAATAATGTGTCCTCAGAATGGCTTATCTAGTGCGAAAGCTAGCCTGGAGTCTTTTCCAGGCCTTCTTTTGTTTGCTTTACATAGTGAAAGAAGCTGAAACTGTAAAATCAACACTGTACTAGATTCCACCATCTGAGGATCTCCTAATAATTTGAAAATGGCTTGAGACATGAACTATTTTTTGAAAGGGCAGCAGATAAAATGGAAGAGAAAGGGAGTTCAGAGTGCTCACAGAAAACAAAAGAGGGAGGGGGAATTTACAGAACGCATTCAGAGTAATGGAGTAAACTTGTTTAGCAATTTTATTCAAGGCGGGGAAAATTATAAATGCTAACAGTGAAAAGAAGCATTACAAGTGACGAATGAATTGTAGTTGTTTGTAAATGTAAAATTGAACTTTGTTCTACAATATTCCAGGATATGCTTTGGAAGATTAGGAGTGTAATTTTTTTTTTTTTCCAGGTAGTTTGGAGTTGTCAACCAGTTGACTTTCAGTGTAGGTAGGGGCTTATGCCAATGATTTATCAATGGAGATCTTCCTGCGGTGTATTGTAATGGCAAATGCAAATAACCAAAATTTCATGCAGTCCATTTTCTGCACATTCAGAATCCTAACTTGAATTTGGACAATATCATTAATAATGAAGGCAGGAAATGTCAGTTCTTTTATTACATAGATGCATACTTTCAGCATTAAGACAATCCTAAAAATCAACCTAGCCAACATTGCTTGACTTCTCATTGACTTTTTTAGTAGACAGCATATGTTTTGTAAATCATAACAGTGCACAGTTTAACCTTTTCATTACTCTGTAGTCACAGAAAGGGAAGCTGATGCCAAGCCCAGTAGACTTTACAATTACCCCTGAAACCTTGCAGAATGTTAAAGAGGTAAGTTTCTTATTTTATACATAATGCTCAAGTGATTCTGAATGAGATCAAGAAAATAATGATTAAATGCATTCCTGTAGATAATCGGTTCTTTTCCTTTCTTTTTTTCTTCTCTCTTACTTTTGTAAGCAATAAAGTAATCTTATCTGTTTTCTTCCGGTTGTATGACTAATGTAAAGTGGAACTTTCTTCGGTAGTGGTGAAGTAGTTTTTTCGTTTTTGAGTGAAAGATGGCAGCGAAGCAAGGAAAAACATTCTGTACCATACTCAGCAAGAGCCTTTAAAAATGTATTTCTTGATTCCTTGGTTATGCCTTCTTTACAGGTCCTGCATTGGCTTTGGGAAGACTATGTGAACAGTAGTAGCGCTCTTTGGTCAGTCAGTTCGCTTTCTGAACACCGTTTGTGCCCTGAAACCTGTTTTCTGTTTTTCAACATACTCCAGTTGTGCACTCTTTTGTTAATAAGACAACTACCCTGCTTTAATTCTCCCATCTGCATCCCCAGTTTAAGTCTTCCAATACACTTAATTCCAGAGTTCTGAAGTTGGACCAGCTCTTCCATGGTTCCTCAAAGCGTCAGTTCAAAGATCTTGATCAGCCGTTGGGTTGTTACATGCCATTGTTGACCTTATTCTGCATATTCACAAAATCACAGAATCATTGAGATTAGAAGGAACCTGGAGATTTAGTCCAGCCCCACTTGCTTAGTAGCAGGATCATCTAGAGCAGGTTGCTCAGGACTGTGTTGAGCAGAGTTTTGAATATCTCCAAGGACAGACTCCACAACCTCTCTGTGCATCCTGAGCAGCCAGGTTTTTTTGATGTTTCATGAAACTTCCAATATTTCAATTTGTGCCCATCTCCTCTTGTCCTGTCACTGGGCACCAGTGAGAAGAATCTGGCTCGTTCTTTTTTTACTCCTTCCCATACACATTGATAAGATCCCTCCTGAGCCATCTCTCTTCCAGGCTAAACGGTCCCAGCTCTCTCAGCTTCTCCTTCTATGTCAGATACTCCAAGCCCTCTGAGTATTGTCATGGCCCTTCACTCGACTTACTCCAGTATGCCTATATCCTTCTTGTACTGGGGAACCCAGAAGTGAGACCACCTCTGGGTTATTGTATCCACCTAGTGCTGAGCAGAGGGGAAGAATCACCTCCCTCAGCCTACTGGCAACACTCTTCCTAATGCAGCCCAGGATGCTTGTTGGCCTTCTTTGCTGCGAGCACACATTGCTGACTCATATGCAAATTTTGTCTTGCTAGGTCTCCCAGAAAAAGCTGTTTTCCAGTTGGTCGGCTTCCAGCCTGGTGCGTGAACTGGTGCACGGGGTTATTCCTCCTCAAGTGTAGGACTTTGTATTTCCCTTTGTTGAACTTCACGAGGTTCCTGTTCACTTGTCCAGTCAATCAGAGGTCCCTCAGAAGGGCAGCACAACCATCTGGTCTGTCAACCACTCCTCCCAATTTTGTATTGCCTGCAGACTTGCTGGGGGTTCACTCTGTCCCATCATTCAGGTCCTTAATGAAGATATTAAGCAATATTGGCCCCAGTATTGACCCTTGGGGTAAACCAGTGGTGAGTGGTCTCCGACTGGACTTCATGCCACTGATCACAACCCTTTGAGCCCAGCAGTTCAGTCTGTTTCCAGTCCACCTCACTGTCCATTTATGTAGTCTGTACTTTTAATTTGTACTTCATCAGTTTGGCAGTGAGGAGGTTAAGGGAGATGCTGTCAAAAGCCTTGTTAAGTTAAACAGCATCCTCTGCTTTCCTCTCATCCACTGAGCTAGTCGTGTTGTCATAGAAGGCTATCAGGTTGGTTTGGTGTGTTTTCCCCCTTGTAAATCTATGCTGACTACTCCCAATCACCTTCTTATCCTTTATATTTGGAAACGGTTTTCAGGTTTATTTGCTCCATCACCTTTACCAGGGATCAAGGCAAGGGGGCCCAGCCTGTAGTTCTCCAGATCTCCTTCTTGAAGATAGGAATGACTTTCTTCCATTCCCCAGGATCCTCCCCTGATAACCATGACCTTTCAGAGATAATCAAGAGTGGCCTTGCAGTGACATCAGCCAGCTCCCTCAGCACTTGTGCGTGCATTCTGTCAGGCCTCATGGACTCGTGTATGTCAAGTCTGTTTAAATGTTCCCTAATCTGATCCCCCTTTACCAAGGGTGAGTCTTCCTTGTTCTAGGTTTTCCCACTGGTCTTAAGCGCCTGGGATTCCTGAAGGCAAATCTTACCAGTAAAGACTAAGGGGAAGAAGGCATTAAGTACGTCAGCCTTTTTCATGTTTCTTGTCACCAGGTCCCCTGCTATATTTAGCAATGGACCCACATTTTCCATAGTCGTCTTTTTGCAGCTGGTGTACTTGTAGAAAGAAGCCTTTCTTGTTGCCCTTCATGTCCTTTGCCAGATTCAGCTCCAGGTGGTCTTTGACTTCCTAACTCGATCCCTGCGCACTTGGATAGTGTTCTCTTACTCCTCCTGGGTCACCTGTCCCTGCTTCCAACTCTTTTGTGTAGTTTTTTTGAATGTCCGTATTTCTCAGGAGCTCCATGTTCATCCATGCAGGCCTCTTTCCACCTTTGCTTGACTTCTTGCGTGTCAGGATAGACTGCTCTTGAGCTTGGAGGAGGTGATCCTTGAAAATCAACCTTTTCTCCTGGCTGAACTTGTGTTCTGCACCCTTTGATATCTCTGGAGACTGATGCACACTGAAATCATACATTTTTAAGTTAAAAAATGTAATAGCTGTTCTTGATGGTAAAATGACTTTTGAAATGGCTACTAAATACTAAGCTGTCAGCAGTCTGCTCTTTGCCAATGAACCATGGTTCTACTTAAATTATTTCGTCGTCTTCTGATATTCTACCCTTTTGCTTAGCAAAGACTCAATGATGTGCATCTTGAGAAAGTCCTGTCCGTTATAAGCTCTTTTTTAGGGTTAATAGCAGACCCTGCTCCTTTCTTTATTTCAAGTACATAACCACAAAAAGTAGATTCTAAAAATTCTAAAATTTCTGCTCCAGAAGATCTCAATGTTTAATTGCGGAGCTGTCTGGAAAATAGTATTGGACTGTGCAGTAGTACAAGCAGCAGCGTTGCATTTTTTGCGCTGTCTATCTGGTGGACAAACGTCTATAGGTAGAAAGGGAAAAGTCATCGTTCTTGGATATTTTAAAATGTCAGTTCTCTGCTTGTCCGGAGACTGTGCCTGAACTATAATTTGTAGAAGACCACTGGAAAACTATTTGGGAGATTTGCATTAGCAAAGCACAAAGAGATTAGATGGAAAAACCAAAATAGATTTACTAGCATGTTGTTGGTTCTCATTTTTCAGGATTATGTAATGCAGTGTAAAAAATGGATCCCATGAGAGAAGACCTAACTAGGATAAAATACCAAGAGCACTGACAGGAGTAGTAAGGTTTCGGGGGAAATATGTCTTTAAAAACAAACAAAAAAAAATCTTGTAGACTAGGTTTGAAGAAAATGGCTTTGAGTTCTGGTTCTGGAAGTTATTTTTATCTCTATCTCATACACCCTGACCACTGTGTTTCAGGGGATAATTATGCAACGTCTCTGTGTAGCAGGGAAGTAAGCTTACGTTCACTAATATCAGTGGTGAGAAGAACCTGCTAGAGATCGTACATTTTACTGATGTATCATAGGATTCATGTGATAGAGAGATTTTGTCAGGAATGTAACTGTTGTTATTTCCATTAGGAGAAGATACCCAAATGAGGTCAGGTGTACTAAGCATATGAAGATTCCTCTTTATTTCCCCCAAAGACTTGTTTTGAGTAGAGTGCTACGTTCTGCAGAGATGCTGGGGATCTGTGTGAAACAGTCTAAGCAATACCTGAGCAGAACTTTTCTGCCATTGCTTCTGGCAGCCAGGACTAGGAAGCAGAACAGATTGGGAGAAAAAACCTGGCAAGAAGACAGTTGGTTTGGTAGGAGGGAAAACTGGGTACATGGGCAAGGAAACTAGAAGCTACAAGCAAGCGTGAAGAGGTGCTTGGAAGGTAGGGGCTAGTATCCAAGGTGTCATTAAGGTGTCAATAACTAAAAACCTGGAGGAGAAAGAGGAAAAATAGGATTTGCAGAAGAGGAGGAAGGTTGGAGCATGGGGCTGGAAGACTTTGAGGAAAGTTGGATGGTGAAGTTGGAGCTGAAGATGTGGGTAGAGAACTTGATTGTTTCGGTATGCTTCCTGCTAGAACTTGAAATGTAACTGCAGCTTCTGGCATATGAGTTTCTCTGCTGGCAGAAAATATCTGTGATGCCTCTTGGCCTAAAAAAAGGGGGGACGCTTCTTTCTCTTACAGAAATTGATTTTAGACTTACAGAAACTTAGACTGTCATCCTCAATATTTGCTCTTACTGTTTGAAGCTCTCCTAGTGTAGCTAGTAAGTCTATAGCATCTAGCTGTGCTGACCTGCGTGCATGTCAGCAGCATTGTGGTGTGCTTCTTTATTATGTAGGAAATGTGCTTGCTGTTAAAAGAAAGATGTTAAAAGTGTGATCCTGCTTTTAAGTTAGGATCTTTATTGATTGTGCAGCCCTTTAATTGGTGTCTTGCACCAGTATGCAGCACGATACATCTTGAATTAAATGAGCATATTAAATGTCCTTTTCTTCTGTACCAATAGTGGCCATGAGAGATAAGTTTAAAATGCTGGGAAAAATCACTGAAATGATAGATTGTATTGTAATCTGTGACAAAACAGGACCAAAATGCTGTTCCTCAGAGCACTAGTCAACTTGACCATCCTTTCTGTTCCTGCCTGCCTGTGTCCTTCACCGTGCAGTTCCCAACTTTTGGATAAACTGTAGTATCCGAGTCTTGTCAGATCATCCCAGGAAAGATAGCTCCTGTGTATGGAGTGAGTTGGAGGGGTGCATTTCAGTAGCACAGTAAGAGATAATATCCTAGTGCGTCTCCATAAGGATGCCTATTTAAAAATGTGCATTAAGTAAGTTCCTTGAGGCATTTCTAAACTAAGTTCTTGATTTGTAACTTTTCTACATCTTTTGGTAACTCTTTGTCTTTTTCTCTGTAAGGTTGCTTTTTTTCCCCCCTCTAGTCAGCATTCTCTGCTATTACAGTTATGGTTTTGTTTTTGTTCCCCTCTTCCCCCTCCCCATCTTTTTAGAGAGCCTCACTTCCAAAATTTCTCATCAGAGGTCATCTCAGTTCTACAAACTGTATCATCACACAGCCACTAACAGGGGAACTGGTAGTGGAGAATGCAGAAGCTGCAGTCAAAAGTATTGAGCTGCAGTTAGTACGTGTGGAAACCTGTGGTAAGTTGTTCTATAACATGTATAGACTGCAATAATTAACAGAATGCTTGCACTCTTTTAGCTTAAATATGCAAGATTGTCATAAGTCATACAATTCAAAAGACTTATTTAGGAGAAAAAAAAAAAGTTTTGCACCTCAGGTAGAACAGTCAAAGGATTAATTTAAATAATCTCTGTAATCCTTAACTCAGGAGCTCTAACATGTAAAGTTACTGGTCAAAGGGCAAAATGTTTTGGGATTTATTCCCTGGTAAATTCCCTTTGTGTGTTTGAATTTTGGCTCTTGCTTTCCCTTTTCTCTCCCTTCCCTCTCCTCTTCCTCTAAATTTCCCACTTTCACCAGGATGTGCAGAGGGTTATGCCAGAGATGCCACAGAGATTCAGAATATTCAGATTGCTGATGGGGATGTCTGCAGGGGCCTACCAATTCCCATATACATGGTGTTTCCCAGGTTGTTCACCTGCCCTACCCTGGAAACAACAAACTTCAAAGTTGGTAAGTATACGGTTTTTATGCTGTACTGACATCTTTCATTTGAAATAAGTTTCTAGTTTCAGCTTAGCTTCTGGCAGATGATGGGAAAAATTACTGTCAACGTTGCGAGAAAAACTAAGGAGATATGTTTTCCTGCGGAGGTTCCTTGAACAGGATTGCAGTATGCTGTATTTCTTACAGATTGAGAAAACAGAGCCTAGTACTCTTTACTAAAACAGTTTTGAAACTGTTAAGCTAGTTCTGGCTAATAGAATTATATGATAGAGGGACTGGAGCAGTAGTGTAATGGCAGGTAATAATTTTTTTGGCAGAAAAAATAAAGTGTGATTACACGCTTAAAGCATTTGAATAGTGGCCCAGGAAGAAAATGCCAAGATGATCGCTTCCTTCTTTTTTATCACTAAGATCTCCTTTTTCTATTCCTTCTCCCTTTTTTTCCCGTTCTCCTGTTGCTCAGAGTACAAAAAATGAGGTTAGGTTATATGTAACTTTGCTTTCTTGATCTTCACAGGCCACTTACTCCTGCTTATTTTTGCCAAAATCCAGCATTTTCAACAGCAAACATTTAAAATGTAGGTCCCTGTTTTCATGTCCCAAATACTGACCTCTGTTCTTGTGCTTTACAAGTCAGATTTTTCTCATTTGTTCAAATAATTACTGCAGAAATCCTCCATGATAGCCTGTTATTCTACCCTTCTTTCCTCTGGAATCTGTTGGGTGTTTTTAATTGTATCAGACTGCTATGAGTCTGTGCCATTAGGATGCTTCACAGCTGAAACTGCTCCCACTTTTGTGCCGCATATCTTTGGACAAATGCGTACAATTAGCTTTTCAGCTCTGAGTGCCAGTTTCCTCAAAAGCATTTTTTGCACCTGATCTATACAGTGATTTTTTCACTAAAATAATCAGTAACATTTATTCTACACGTGGCGCTTCTAGCTATTAAATAGTAATTTATAGTAACAAATTGCTTCTGTTAGTATAGGAATCTACTTTTGTTTATACAAACAGCCTTCATATCCTGTTATGAAGATGCTGAAAAAAGATAACTCACTATTTATTAGTATTATATATTATTATATATCTGCTCTCTAGTTGCTTCTACTCATTAGCTCTGTGTGATTTCAGTCTGTCTCCATTTAGAGACGTAGATCTGATACTGGTTCTTTTTGGAACAACACAAAATATAGTATTTAGAGAGTATATTTTCTTTTGAAAGAAACAGTTTCATTTCTTCATGGAATCCAGGTATATTTTTATTTTGGTGTTTAACTTCATTTTCTATAAGGCCAAAACAGCCTTAGAATGTTGTATTAAGTTCTATATATGCTGACAGCATTAATAGGAAAAAGTCTGTTTTCTAAATCTTCTACTTACATGCTTCTAAGCAATGAATATTGTTTTGAGAAAGACAGCCCAAGCCAAAGTCTGTTTTAATCTTGATGTCAGAACTCCAGTCTACGGTCTCCTAGTAGAGCTGTAGGGATGGTCCAAGGTCTCAGATGCTGGGATTAGGTTCTGTCTGGAGCACCTTGTTCTTCCCTACATTATTGTATTACTTAGCTACAGAAAAATCTTGACTATTAAACAGCTTGGAAGAGTCCTGTGAACTGATGCATGTGAGAGCAGGAAGAGTCTGCTTCTGATCCTGCTGATACAATTCAGAGTAATGTGGAACCTTTTATTTTTACCTCTTCCCCTAGAGTTTGAAGTTAACATTGTTGTCCTTCTGCATGATGATCATCTCATCACAGAAAACTTCCCCCTGAAGCTCTGCAGAATGTAAATAGCCAGAGGAGGACTACCTAAGGATTTACCAAAAAAAGAAAAAATTCTTCAGAGACAAACTGAATACTGTCCATGGATTAGTTTAACTGAAAATACATCACTTCTTCCTTTCTGCTGGTAGTTCTCATGAATTCAGTCCTCTGTAAAGCTTCCTGAACACTGAGCCTGTCTTCTAATGATATCCTAAGTGGACGTATCCCTCTGGCCAACCTTGTCAGGTATCTTTCTGAATTCAACAGCCACGTTTCCCCACTTTTTCTCAGACAAATCCTGAAGGAATGATTTTGGATATTTCTGCAACTTGCGCAATGTAGTAAGTTTCTTTGGAACAAGCACTGCTTCATGAAATACACAAAGTTCTTTAAAGACTTCTTAAACCTGTTATATACTATGTATATTATATATGGGAGGTATTGGACTTGTGATATAATGCTGAATGGAATGTTCTAAAATATAATAAAATGGTGCTATAAAAATGTAAGATGGTGTTTTGGCATGAATATTGCAAGGTGAATATGAAATAAGAAGGAACCAGGTGTGTTTTGGTCCAATAGGGAATATGAATCTGTATTGGGCAAATGGTCTTGGAACTGAAGTTCCTTGGGGTTTTTTTGTTTTTTATTTTGTTTTTTCTTTCTCCTCCATTGCATTGGATCTTCATAGGAATAGACAATGATACCCTTAATTTAGCTTTGCTGTTTGCATGAAATAGCACCAAAGAAAAAGGACCAGTCAAAAGTTCTAGCCTGAGAATGTATTTCAGGTATTCTTTGCATTATAACATCTTCCCTCTTAAAGTTCTAAAGCCCAGTTTTGATGTGAAAGTGCTTTGTTAGGTGTTGTCATAGGAGTGACTGTTTGACAAACAGCATGATTGAGTTGGTACAGACCAACCTATTCTGATGGCTGAATGACTTCCTTATACTAAATGATACAAAAAAAAACTGCATAAAAAGACGTTTATGCTATGGCACGTTGCCTTTAGGACATGATTTGGCATTATGAGTAACATTCCAAGGGAGACTAGCCATTCACTCTTAACTAAGTAACTAACTAAGTGGGTTAATATTGTCACTTGTGCAATTTGTTGGAGTATCTGTTTATCTATCTATCATCTAATGTATATGCCTAGAAGGGAATTACTGAAATAAATCATACTATTTTATGCTTCTAGAAAAAGTCATGAAAAATGTTTGCAACTATACAGCTTGCTTAGACATCCATGTGAATCGGCAAATCGGGAACTAGAGGGGAAGACCATTTTGCTGAGAAATAACCTTTCTGAAAATGAACAAGTTGTGGCTTTTGATGTTGTTTAAAGTTGAAACAGAACAGCCACAGCTTTCTAACTGTTAATTTTCAATAGAATTTTGTGTAGGGAGGGCAGCATGTCAAGTATATAAATACAATATAAAGAAATATGAGCAAAATGATGACAACCTGAGAGAGAGAAATAAGAAAAAAAGAAAGACTACCAAAAACAGTTTCCTGTGACTTTATCTGGTGGAATTGTCTAGCTGGACACTAATTGTAAGCTTGCCTGTGGTTCTGTGTCATCTGAATTTAAGAAATAAACACCTGGAACTATTTTAATATCTTACACCATTCTTCTACTAAAATAGAACAGCTCTGCCCCCTCCCCCCTGCTCCTTTACCAGAGGTCACACATTTCTGTAAGATCAGGAAACAGTACAGGACCATTTCAGGGGGGAACAAAGCCCTTAATTCTATTTTACACACTGTTACAGGAGTGCCACCTGCTGCTTGAAGTTAAAGTAGCAGAACTCATTGGAAAAGATGTCCTGGCATTCATCCTGCCTCTGTTTACATTAGCTGCAGCTCTTCTACTCCTTCAGTGCAGAGCTACAGCCTGTAGCTTGTGTCTCCACTGGTGCGGTGATGATCGCAGTGGATTAATGGTATATAAAAGGCTTCAGAGATCCATGAGTGACTGCTGAAAAATCCTGCTCTGGAACAAGCCCTGCTGTTCCAGGAGGCTGCTTTGACAGGGACCTAAGGACCACTGTTATACCATGAAGTCTCTTTATTAAGCTGCCTAGAACTAGTAATTATGACTTAGAAATTGTGGACTTCTGTATGTCTGAAAGTCCATCCTTGCGCACAATGATGCCAGAGTTCTACTGTAGTAAGCGAGCATTTCCTAGACCTGTCACACATAAAGAAGCAGGCCAACATCATCCAGCACTGTACTGGAGAAATAGTCAATACAGCCTTAAGAAGTGCTGTATGAGTAAGTAAGTAAGTCAGGAACACGTCTGAAAGGATTGCAAGGCAATGCTGTTTACCCTTTAAAATCCAGTAATAAGCCAGCCTTGGCTACATGTACTCACAGTTAAAAGAGCGTGAGCTATCTGGTCTCCTTAAAACTTTATTAGCATCTTAGAACAGACAAAAAAACAAGTTCCATTTATGAGAAGTCCTCTTTAAAAAAGTGAAAGAATAAACTGGAAGAGTTTTAGCGATATTTACAGGTAATCAGGTTCAGTGAAGAGAAAGGGAGATTAGATTTTTAGATTAAAAAAAAATCTACTTATTCAGGAACCTGGGTCCTATCCGTGCAGTGGGCATAAGAAAAAGATTGGCCAATTACAAGTGTTTGTGTGTACACACACGCCAGTTCAATGCTAAGACCTTGCATTAACAGTAAGTAAGTGCTGTGTTCATCCAGTTCACAGCCAGCTTAGCCTCACTACCGCAAGGCAAGTTATGCTTCATTTGGAGCATACTGTCAAATATGGCCTGTGTACAACAGCTTTGCCACTGCTTAGCAGATCAAGGATGCCCTGCCCTGGAAGACAGTGGTGTCAGGTGCTAAGAACTGCTGCTTTGGTGACAAGCTAAGATGAGGAGGATAGAATCAGTCCCTGTGTTTCTTCTTCCCAATGAGTAAATAAGGGAAGCTTAAAAGGATGCAAACGCTGCAGGGCTGAGCAGCACAGTACCTACTTCTTTAGGCAGCAAGGTGCCTTACTTCTCGCTCTAGCATTACTCATCAATAACTTACTATGCTTAGCAAAAATATACATAAAATAAGAGAGCACACCAGCCGTAGTAGTAACAATATTTATTTTCATCACAAAGTTCCAGTTAACATAATGATTAATCACAGAAGTAATGTGAAGCTTTATCCATAGCATACTCACTCATTTTGGGGAACAAATGATCCTTAGCATTAGCTAACCTAATCTCATATAATCAATTGAATACCACTTGCACTGAATCCACAGTCATACTCTTATTTTCAGAGTGTTTTGTGGTACATGATCTCATTCTGGTCTTTTGGCTATCTATCTGAGACAAATTTTACAATGAAGAAGGTACACTGATGGCAAACTCGGACTTTTAAAGTAGTAGGATGACCAGTCTTTCAGATACTTACATTCTGTACCTCACACTTTTAGATAAACTAGCATTCATGCACAGAATACAGGTGCACTGTGTTGCTTCATCAAAAATAAAACCCCTTTAATTTTGATTTAAACAAGTCAACTCTCGACATATGAGGGAAATTCAAGCCCTATTCTGAGTTTAATAAAATTGAGCCACAGCTTTCCAAATAATTCTATGCAAGCGAAAAGAACCATAAGAATAAACATTTTGCTTCAAAATATTACTAAAAAAATATTCTTAAACAATTTGAGTTTTTAGCTGTTGATTTATACAGGGAACGGAGCCACAATTATATGAACTTCATTCATAATGATCATGAAAAGCCTGATTAAATTACCAGGAAAAATTACCAGGGGAAAAGTAATAGCTTGGTTGTCCCAAATACTGCTAGTCTATCACACAGATCACCTACTGTCTGATATTAAGATTTATTTTTAATAGTGTCAGCTCTGGAAGAAAACCCACTCTTTGCAGGAATTATGCACAGGCATCACCATCCTTTTGAGGAAAGTAGATACGGTAGTTTAAATACCCCTTAACCAAAAAACCCTAACAGTTTTGTTTGCTTCTGATTAGAAAAGTAGATTAGCTGCGCGCAGTTAGGTAGCAACAAGGGAAAGTGCTGGCTCTCAGAATATACTAACTTGAGTCTATTGGTACCACGGCAATACCTACATCTTACGGCTTAACACCAAGTGTAAAATACTGAAGTCAGAGTTCTCTTACTATTTGCAATAAAAAGAGTGTTTTATCTCTTCCTAGGCATCATGTCACATCTCTTTTCCTTATCATGGTGGTTATTTATTTGCAACAACTTTGCATTTTATTATAATTAGTTCAAACAAAACAACATTTAAGCATATTTGTTTCGTGGAGGAAGCTCAGGAAAGTCTTCAGGTAACAGAGCATGAACGCGACACATAGGGCAGGTACTTGAATGTTCCTTAAGCCATGTTCTAATGCACTGCAAGAACAGGAAAATAATATTCAGAAAACAGCTGAAGTCTGGTATAAAGAGTTCACCTTAAGTAGGTTAATATTTGTCACTGATAGGTAAACAATATTCCAACATGTCCTACAGCCTCTTATTAAAATTTGCAGTTAGTTCTAACTTTTCCCATTCTGATGCTGTACTGATCAATTCACAGTGCAACCTATTCTGCAATAACAGATAAGCAGTAAACAAATATGTTAATGGATAGGGATCGCTAACAGAAGCATTAGGTTATTTTAATATACTTCCAATTATCTTTACTAAACGTATACAAAGATGTCTATGCAGCTACTATCAGGTGGCTAATACACTTATTATAGTGCTAGCCCATTCTGTAAATATACTCCAAACAGAATTCTGTGACTTGATGACCAACCAATCTCTGACTTAGCCCCTGAAGAGTAAGCTTAAATTCATTCTGATGAAGTTTGGTAAAGAGCTAAATACCAAAACTGGAAACTTTCCAATACAAAGACTAGCTTGACGTACAAACTACGTAAAGGAAAATTGTGCGGTGTTGTTTTTATACTTCTTAAGTGTGAAAGGGTAGCGGTTTTGTTTTTGCTTTTAGGAATGGGCACAGTGGTATAACTGAACTTGCACAGTGATGAGAACATAAAAATACTTACTACTTTGTGAAAACGATGCCCACATTCTAGTTCACACAAGTCTGTGCTTAGCTCCTCATGACATATTATGCAAGGATCATCATCGGAGGTCTAAACATAAAGTGTTAAGTTATTTGAAAGCTAGCAACAATTAATCATCACATTCTAGTAAGCTAATGACTACAATATTACTAAATCTCCTCTCCCCCCCAACATACTCTGATTATCCATGTCTCATGACATTAGCTAAAAAAAAGTGCACGTTAATAACTTCAAGGTCAGTGAAACGGTGGAGAACTTACTGTATCGTCTGACTTTTTCCATTTAGATCTGGATGTTACTCCAACATTTCCCCACGGCTGGGAATTTGGCCAAGAGGGATATGCATTTTTACTTGTGGCATTTTTATGCCCAGGTCTTGCTTTGGATGGACCGGGTACATTTTCTTCTGCAGGTACTTCCTGAGCC